GTAAATATAATTACAAATTAATGGAATTTTTTGTTGATTTTATTCAATTTCCATTATATATGAAATAAAAAATATTTTATAAGACTTGCAAAAGTACTGCACAACCCGCCCCAGATTTTAAAAAATTTGGCCCGGAATATAATTAAAAATTATTTAAAAAAAATTTAGACATGGGCCGGATCTGTTTTATTTAAACAAACTTAAAATACGGCAGGTCTCTGATATATATATTTACACAATCATAAAATATTCAAAAACAATGATAATATGGGATCGGATCAGTTTTTTTGAAAAATGGGCCCGGGCCGATTTTTGAGATCGGTTCCGATTTATCCTATATTTAATATCGGAACAATAAATTTGTGTTTTATTATAAAAATTAATATGTTTGGGTTCCTTAACGACATAATTAGATTAACCTTCTTTTTTCATGAAAGTCATATCCTCCTTTTTCGTTGGAACTTTTATGTCTTTTATATTATTTTTATCTATAACATCCTTTGAGAGATTCAATTAACATTGTTTAGGTTGAAAATCTTTACGATTTCTGAGTTTTCTTGTCATACCTGTTTCATTTTCATTATCTACTACAATATTTATATGATTGATTACATTACCATAGTTAAGATTACAAATAATGATAATTTCTCATTTTTCGATGAAGCATTATTCAAGGTATACAGATTATTAGAGAAGCTACACTAAAATATACACGGGAAGGGAAAGTGAATCTACGAATAGTATCAATTAAAAATTCCGCATCATCTGATAATTCCAATCATTTTTGTTTTAGCCCTAAGTCTATACCTGTTAATTTAATAAGATTTTGTATAATCTTGTAAATCAATAACCTTATTATTTTATAATAAAAAATGTTTTAATAAACAATAAAAAAAAATTTCAATACCTTAGAATAGGTTAAATCTTCCATTTCATTAATCATGTGATTAAGAGAATTTAATTATATAATAGCAGTGCGATGATATAAAGATTCCGTTCCAATCAAAACAAATATTTTTTTAAGAAAAAGAAGCGAGTTAATAACAAGTATCGTCTTTCTTACTGCGCAAGGCCTTCTAACGACTCATTCATAGTTAGCCCGATACAAAATACGTTATATTTTTATATTCTCCGCCAACCCCTCATTCACGTTTAGCATAAATTTTTGGCGAAGTATACAAATTATTTTTTTTATATACTTAGCCTCAAATTCGCGCTAATTGATTTTTTTCTTTCAAAAAACACATTTTTTACAGAAATGTGTTTATATCTACAAAACCAGCTATCATCTCTTATAGGATCATTAACCAATTAAAATTTTTTTTTTTATTTAATAACATAACACCATATTTATAAAAGGAAAGAGCAAGTCACACCAAAACCTCGTTAACTGATATTTCAAACACTTTGCTCTTGCAAATTTTTTAAAAATTGTGATCAAAATTGTAATCAAAATTTTAATTCAAAACTTCTTGACTGATATTTTTTCCCAATTTTTGCAAATTCTTTTTTATATAGTAGAACCAAATTATTATGTTATTAAAGTCTTTGAAACTTTTTTCTAAAAATAGTTGTTTTGGCAGAATTTAATAGTAGAACCAAATTTTTTGATAATTTTATTGCTATTATATCATTCATTCATTACCTTCTGATTGATCACAAAATGAATTAAATTGAAGATTTAAATTATTGTAAGGTATTGTAATTATTTTTATTGTTTATTAAAACATTAATTTATAATGATAAAATTATTTATTAATTTACAAGGTAAATCTTATTAAATTTTCAGATCCAGGCCTTGAGCTAAAAATAAATGAAGTTACCGGGGATGATATGGAACCTTCTAAATTGATATTATATATAAAATTCGATGATAATTATATTTTACTGATAAATAAATATTTTATAAAATTATTAGGTACAGGCAGTTTAGTTTGAACTAAAAAATGATTGGAATTATCAGATGACGTGAAACTTTTTATAATGATATTATTTGTAAATTTACCTTGTTCACCCTTACCCATTGTATTATAATTAAGTTGTGGATGAAAATAATATAAAAGACATAGGGAGTGCGACAAAAAAATGTTTTAAAAAAACTAAGAATGACAGGAGAAAGAAAAGTATATGGATTTTAAGAGAAATAAAGGGCGGATCTGATTATGTCATCAAGGGACCCTGACATATGAAATTTTTATTTATAATAAAACACAAACTTACAGGGTTGTACCGATATTAAGTATCGGATCGGAGGCGATATTTTCAAAAAATTGGCTTTTTGGTTATTTTATAAATACAATAATATTTTTTATTTTAAACATAATTTCTTATCAAAAAAAATTGAATAAAAAATCAACAAAAATTTAGTCACCAATCAGCTTTATACATTGCCCATAAAACGCCAAAATTTATTATTTTCCTATAGCGCTTATTATCTATCCACCTTCCTCGAAAAAATGTACGAATCGACTCGAAGTTGAATGAACCTATTTCCAAAAAGAACCCACAGATTCGATTCGAACTCAAACCTTAGAAAATAACGGATTGGGGTACCTTAACTTCTTGAACCTCGATGAAAAAAACTGTCTATAAATCAGATAACAAAACTCTTCATTGAAGCAAATATTAAGCATTTGAAATGCGGGTTAAAGATCGGTATTCTAAGCAACACAATTTTTATTTCTGCAAATTAGGTAAGTCTATTCAAAAACGAATACTCTAAACAAATCTAACGATTTTGATATTCGTATGGTTTATATAACTTATTCGATTCATATAATTAAGGAGTGTTGAAACGGCTCTGTTTGAGCCAATTTTTAAAAATGGCTAACTCAATATATTATCATTAAAAATATTACGTAGGCCTAAAGATTTTGCTCATAGATGGCAAAAGTTCTAGACTTAGGCAATATTCATCTAGCTAAAATATTGAGTTAGCCGTTTTTAAAAATCGGTTAGGAATAGTAATATTTGTTCCTTTAAAATAATCAATAAAATAAATGTAAAAACATTCATATGTTTTGTTTCATTTTTTATAATCCATTCTTCTTTCTTTTTATTAATGATATAAAAACGACAAACTAGTAATAATTGCTCCATCCTCCTATTTGTTTTTCTGGCAATCTTAATTATTTTCTTAAAATTTCTTTACATGTTTAACCTTCAAGAAACAAACAATTTTTTTTCTAAAAAATATATAAACATCATATATTGCCATTAATTTTATTTGCGGGGAAAAAAAAAAAATTGAAAAATTTTTTAAATCAATTTCTTTTCCTTTCTTTATCAACAAAAAAATGAAAAAAAAAATGTTTACAACATGTACAATGTATATCAAATTTTTTTGTATGTCGATAGTGACAGATGTCGCGACAAATATTAGTAGAGATGTACATGACCCATATTTTTTTTTCAACCTATATTAGAAAAGAATTAATTACCCGGCCGGTTGCGGTATCTTATAAAAAATATTGACCAACTCTCATACATAGAGCGTAAATTTAATTTGTTTAAAAATATATTTATATTTATTAGTGTATCTTTCAACGGTAGAATAAATATGACTAATTGACAATATTCAGCCGCTTAACTACAGGGAGGGAGCACCCCAAAGAATATCCGGCCTCAAACATGGCCTCGAAATCTGTTTCTAAGGGTTTATGAAATAAAAATAATTCTACCAAAAATATTGGACTCTATTAGCATCTTCAAGATAAATATAATTAATCGACAGTATTCCACTCCGTTGCCACGAGGCTAAAATATTTTTTGTCCCCTTAAACATGATCTCCTGTTTTCCATTAGCTTACATAAGAAAAATAACTAATCATGTCCCAAAATAATATCATTGACCTCCAAATTAATTGCCCTCCCCCTACTCAACTGACACTTCCTGGTTATGTGTCTGATAGTATTCAATATTTTAACCAATATATATTTTTTTGTTTTGTTACTACTTTTCACTAATTTTACATATTTTAAACAAGAATTTTTTTAAAAATGAACCGATCAAGAATTCGCCATTTTAAGTGCCGGTCGGATTGACAGAGAAATTTTCATTTAGGGGGATAAAATATAAAAAAACTACCACACAGGGTTCAATTGGCAGAATAAACGGATTATCATTGGAGCAATTGGGTAGAAATATAGTGGCACGTACAAGACAATAACTACTTTTGTTATAAAGGGTGGCTAGTATAGGTCCATATCCTCCTAGATTTGAGGCAACATATAATTTTAGTTGCTAAGAGGCCCTGGTGCTTGCAGGTCCTAATCGTGACCTTGGCAATATCTTATCCTATGACCAATTGAGATTGATAGCTGCCATAGTTCTACATCCAGGATTCACCCACGCATATTATATTTAATGTAAAACAATGGCCACCCCAAATGGGGGACGGGGACTTAATGGACCCCTAAACCAACGTCACGTCTCAATGAATTTAATGGTTAGTCGGAGACTCAGAGCAGAACATTTACCAAAATAAAATATTATCGAATCGACTATTCTATCATCAGAAGAAAATCAGAGACCTGGTAGATTAACTTAGACAGCTTCACGGTCTAAACTGACCCGTGAAGATTTTTATAAAGGTTTATTGACCCGGCTCAAAAAATATTTAACGTAGATTGCCCTACACATTATTTCCTATGACAGGAAAATGATAAATTTGCTCGGTTTAAAATAATGCTAGAGAATTTTTTTGCACAAATTACCAGGGCCGAATTTTTTCTTCTTCAGATTTCTGCATTGACTACAATCCATTAAGCAGCAACCAATCTTTAATTTGAGACATATGTCTATCTCATCCCTGGCAGTTGAAAACAGTATCCGCTAAACGCCGCATCAAAGAAAATAAACTTTGTTTTTTTTACTTCATTAGTGTTTGTTCACTAATGAGAAATTAAAATTCGTATGTATCAAGGTTACAACATTTGTACTATTTGAAAGATGAAAAAAAATGAATATTTAATTTATAAATTATTTTTTTTTAAACCAGGGTCGAATCGACGAATCTCTGACAAACGGGTACGTAAGCCCTGATCCCAAACCTATGAACATATTCATCGACCTGCCCTTCATAGAAGATGTCACCAAATTCGCTGTTGAAGAGATGGCGGTAATTTCGTATAATTTTTTAAAAATATTTAGATTAGATCAATCACATATAATACTACCTACACTGAGATTCATTCTTTTAAATGTGTACCAACACCAGTCAGCTTTTGAAACGCCATTTTGGGATTAACTCAACCACAACCATGATACCACATGCAATATTGACCAAGTCTGTAATTTTGGCAGAATTAGAGTTGTAGTTAACAGGGAACTTATAATTATCCCTACCCCACCTTCCCTACCTCCTCCCAATTTTCCCGTGAATTTTTTCCACCATAGACATAGTTAAATGGGGGGGGGGTCTGAAATCAGCTCGGTCTCCTTGGGTTTGGGATAAACTCGTCTGCCAGCCATTTGAATTTTTTTTATATAAAATCAACGTTAACCTTTTTAAATGAAAAATTATTTTATTTTGGTCTTCAGAGACAAATCACTCTCATCGATTGGGGAATTTTCAGATCGATAACGTTGGAAGAGTTTCTCAGCTACGCTTGGGACAGCAAAAATAAACGCGACAGCTCTACTTCGGTCGCCAAATTCACCAACCAGTTTAACACGGTTTTTTTAACACTCCACATACATGATTAGATTATATTACATGTTTGCCTCTTCCCATACAAAAAATTGCAGGGTTATATTAGGTTTTAGGCCAAGTATTACTCTAAAATAAAAAAATTACTATTTTGGAAATACTTAATATCATGCATTTTCTATTTCTGAATTAAATGTTTCAATTTAAACTTTCATAAGTGTAAATAAAATATGAATCGATTTTTAGATATTTTTTTTAAAAAAAATACACAAATCGATTTTTGTTAGAAATTAAATTACAATTATATAATATATATATTTAATAATATAATTTTAATAAAAATAACTTTGACATGAATACGAAATAAAAAAAAGGTAATATGGATGTGAATAGTGTTAAACGGCTCGATTTGAGCCGATTTTGAAAACGGCCAACTCAATATTATATCCAGAAAAATATTACACTATTCAATGTTACTCATTTTTCTTATTCACTAACATTATATCTATTCTTAAAAAAATTTAAACTTGGGACAGCTATGGGTTTTTTAGTTATTGCGATTTTAATAATCAAAAAAGAAATATTTTTTTCAAAAATATATGGCACTCCTTTATAAAATAACGCGTTTTATTAAAATTATTATTTTTTTAATTTTTTTTCCATTTTTAAACATAAATAATAAGATTTTCCACCATCAATATAATGAGAAAATATAATTTAGGTCGTTTGATAGGCTTACTTATTATTATTATTATATTGATAACCTGTAAAAATTACTTATTTTTATAATAAATGTTTAAATTCCTAAAAAGATACTTACGATTCCAGTATCTCCTACAAGAAAATATAATAACTAATTGTTGTTAGATAAAAGCCAGTTTTCATGCACCGGCCCTGAAATTAATTAATTTTTATTTTACAAATATTTCGAAATTAATTTCTTAAAATTTTTTATAACTTATAAATATAAATGAGCAAATCCTTTAAAAAATCTAAACACTTTAATTATAAAAAGAACCTGCGTAAAGTCATGACGTGGATGACACAATTTCCAAACATTGAGGCGGAATATTATATTAGTGATAAATATCTTATATGTTTATCACAAAAAATATTGAAAATATAAATATAATCAATAATATGAAATTTCAATTTCCTAATTTGTCTAAATATAAAAAATATTAATTGCTAACCATTCTACCTCTAATTGGAGCGCAAATAAAATAAAAACGGAATTCAACGCTACATATTATATGGCATATAATTCCAAAATCATTTTAGAGGAAAAGGGGATTTTTAAACTCCAAATCGAAAGCCTGCAAAATATCTCCATCAAAAAACAGTTGATATTGTTAACAAAATTTTTGCAGTGATGAAGTTAATAGGGTATTACAAGAGGGAAAAGATTGCATATCTATCATTGAAAAGGGGGAACGAGTGAACGCTCACAAAGGTTAGTCCTTAATAATTTAAAAGAAATATATAACATTTTAAGGAGAGTAATTCAAACATAGCAATTGGATTATCGAAATTTGATAGCTTGACCAAAAAATTGTATATTAGCAGGGGCTAGCAGAATACATATTCTATGCGTTTGTAGCATAACACCAGAATATTAAACTTATGATTTTAGGCTGTGAATTAGCAACATTGACTAAAAATGGTGAGGATATATTAACAATTTATAGAGATGCCATAGGCAGAATGATTTACCCCATTACTCACCTGTTATTTTGGTGACTGCAACGAGTGTCCTGGCTCGGCACTCTTAAAAGAGCGCATCTAAATTATTTATAAAAAATGTTATAGCTCTTGTTACGTTTAAACAGTGGGTTTCGGTAGATAGAACAACTCTGGGGACTGTTTCTCAATCTTCAAACGAAATGAATATTCTCATATATTCATTTATTTGTGAACAATAAAGTTCATTTCACTATATTCTTAAAAATAGTTTAGAAAATAATCACTATCTAATTATTTGTGACTTTCCAGAAAATAATTCCTTTATTGTCCAAGACGAAGTTCAGGGTTATCATTGGACAACTTCGCAAGTTATGTTGCGTCCATTCTCAATTTATTATATATAGGAGATCAAATAAACAACCTAAGTTTTGTGTTAATATCGGAATCCTTAATTTATAATACTGCTTCATTCTATTTATTCCAATGGCATTTGATTCATTTTTAAAAAAATAAATTCGACACTCCACCAGGAAAAATTCACTATTTTTCTAATGCTTTGGCAGGACAATATAAAAATAGGAAAAACTTCATCAAAGTTTGTTACCATGAAATCGATTTTGGTTCAAGCAGAATGACAATTTTTTCTTACGGCACATGGTAAAAGTGCCTGCGACGGCATAGGCGTCACAAAAACAGGTTAGTTCCCAAGGCAAGCTTACAAAAACCTTATACTGATCAGATAATTACACCTTTACAATTTTATAAATATGAGGGAGAGCATATAAAAGGAATAAATTTTTCTTATGTCACCATACTAGAGTATGAGGAGGAAGAGATAAGACTAAATGAGAGATTTAGTAAATCTATCTCAATACCTAGGACACAAAAAATTCACGCAGTGTTTCCGATCTTTAACTAAGCTCAACACTAAACTATATTTTAATTCGCACACATTTATTGTGGAGAATATAGTATCCACGTGATGATTTTTTAATTGAGGATCTGTTAATCAATGAGATTAGAGGAAATGTAACCGGTGTGTATGAAAACGATAGGTTGTTAGGATTTGTACAAGAAGTGAATATAATTAGAGATGAAATAAAAATTAATTTTCTTCATCTTAAAGGACCAGCAAATTCTTTTGTTTATCCTGCGGCACAAGATCTCCTTTTCATACCAAAATATAATATTTTAATAGTTAGCCCATCAACGGCTACTAGACTCTCATGTAATTTATCGCAAAACGAAATTATCATGGCGTCAAAAAAACTAAATTTAATGAAAAACCGAAAATAGGTAATATCTTTCATGAATTTTAATTTATCTATTATATTTACAAAATTAATAAAATATATTTACGAAAATCAAAATATCTTACAAGAAAAAAATGATTACAACCGCAGGTAAATAATCTCATTTCAATATTAATGCTGGAAGATCTTATTATTTATGTTTTACAAATGGGAAAAAAGTTTAAGAAAAAAATAATTTAACAAAATGCATTATTTATAAAGGAGCGTCCATCTATTTTTGAAAAAAAATATTTATTTTTTGATTTTCTAATCGCAATAACTAAAAAACCCATGGCTGTCCCAAGTTTAAATTTCTTTTATGAATAGATATAATGTTAATGAATAAGAAAATATTAAATTCAAAAAAAATTTGGGAAGTGAAACACCTGGAATTTTCATGTTTAAAATTTATAAAGTAAAAAAATCCCTAATATTTAATAAAGGGCCTTTAATAGAGTTACAAAATGACATATAATTTTTATTTTTAGCATCATTATTTTTTAACTTATCTCAATTTTTAAAAATCATATTTTTCGAAAAAGGTCTATTTTGGCAATTTTGACCATTGATATCTCAGATACTATTATTACTAGAAGGCTGAAATTTTAGACTATGCTTTCTAATGATATCCTCTTAATATGCAAGTTTTATCGAAATTAAAAAGGTCGGGCTGAAAAATTATCGATTTGGCATATTTAAAAAAATTACAAACAAATTTGTTTTATTCAATTATAATACAACTAGTTGATAACCCGTCAAGAATGGCAGGAATAATAAAATCTTGAACTATTATATGAAATTTTTTTTAAAATACATTTTGTAAAATAAATGACAAATTTTAGTGATCATTTATTCAATTTATTAAATATAGCGTAAAATATATGAAATTGTAATCTAAAATGTAGGGTAGATTTTAATAAATTGGTATTGTATGTCATTTCCAAAGTTCAAATATTGTTGAGATAAAAATTTTATACTGGCATATTTTGGGGTGGTAATATGAGATTGTTTATTTTTCAATTGGCTAAATATAATTTAAATTTATTTGTTAAATCTAAATTCTAATAAGTACTTGGATTAGTGAGGGAGGTTCATTTTCTGGCATGGGAAGATATTGATAAATAGGTATTTTATACTATTTGCAGAGCTCCCATATTGTGGTTGTTGAAATAATTTTTTTTTACTGCCATATTTTGGGGTGGTAAATAATTTAAATTTATTAGTTAAATCTAAATTGTAATATAAAAATAATTTTATAAAAATTAATAAATTTTACTTTGATTGAATATAAATACTTATGTTAAAATTAATATGAAATAAATGTTTATTTTTCAATTGGCTAAATATAATTTAATTTGTATTTTAAATTTAATAATATTCATTCTTACCATAATTTGAGGTGAGGTTAGTATTCTTTTTAATATAACACAATAAGATCTAAATTATATAAATTAATTGAAAAATCAATGTTAATAGCAAAATAATAACACATATAAGAAAGATTATATTACAAAATTTAATATAGAAGGTGGCTGAGTGGAAGAACGCTTGCCTCGTTTGCCTTTAAAACGTTAAGTTATAGGTTCGAATCCCGTGATGTTCAAAATTTATCTTAAAATTTAACATTAGATATATATAGTCACCATCGATTTATTTAAAATTAAGAGGATAGGAAAGTTGATGGAAAAAATAAAAATTAACATTAAGGTTAAAAATCAACATTTATGAATATTTGAATATAATTAGTTATTGATTATTAAAGAATTTATATAAAAAGACTAAAATTAATTTAATAAAAAATAAATGGTAATATTTATTTTTTCATATTTTTTTACATTTTAATAATAAAATCATTTCTATATTATCATCCCTAAGTCCAAACCGGCGATCACTAAGTATAATTTTTGCCTCACTAAATAATGGCACAACACTAACACTTAAGATTAATGGGAAATTTATTAATAAATCATTTTTTAAAATAAGTATAATCGTCAAAAATGTTTGTGATTTAAAAATGGCATCTAAGGAATTCTCTATTAGATTAGTATTCCTTATTTCAAAAAAAATTATCCGAAGAAGTCGTTTTTAGGTTCTAACTAATGCATCTTTGTTTAGTATAAGATTATTCAGCTTTATAATGAACCGATCACGTTGATCTTTAGACCCAAACGAGTTGATATATGACCAGTAAAGTTTAAAATTTGGATGTATCATGGCAGCTAACACATTATCATCATTGTATAGATTGGGGGATCTAAATTTAATCCAAAATGATTTAAACTATTAAATTATGTATCTATCATGATTAAATTTATTTTGGCTATAAAACATAATTTCCAGGATATAGAAAATTACCTTCTCTCAAAGTCTTTTAGCATACTAGGCTGGCACAAGTTTAGATTTAATCTCTTTTTGTATTTAGGATACTCAAAATATCCCATCTCCATATTATCCTCACCTTTCAAAATTTCAAGGGAAGCGGCCCCATCTCTGTATACTCATAGTATGCTCTTCATCGTTAATCCATTAAATTTTAACTTGTTCATAAAGAAAATCCATTTTCAATCTTCTTTCATCCAGAACAAATGCTACTAATTTGATTTCATTATAAACAGAATTCCATCTAGGGGTGTTAGGAGTTAATAAATACCTGCCTAATTTGAGGATATATTTTCCTACATTTTGAACAGATTGTTTTTCCATTAATTTCAAAAATTTTTTTGGTATTATTGTTGTCAAGAATTTTATTTTCTTCCAGTGCTTCCATTTCGTTAATATTTTTATTGTCTGACTCACTTATCGATTTCAATAGGTTTTACACCAGATGGTTTAGGTTTATAATACAAATTTTGAAAATATAAATTTCAATTTCAAAATTAAATTATGAAATATAAAAGTATGAAAAATTTTTTTGTTATAGTTATATTCATACCTTTTTATTTCTAAAAAAGAGCGCATTACCGCTATCCCTATTTTTTTTAAAGTAGCACGCTATTAGCTACCGCTCCTAAAAATTTATTGCGTAGCGCGCTACTTTAGCAACTCTTGTAGAAACTTATTTTATTAATTCAAAAAACAAAAATAATATAGATTAGTTTTTGGGTAATCGGCGAAATATTGAAATCGAATATGCCGAAAAGAAGAGCGGCAGTGGTGTCTTATTTCATAAAATTAGCCAAGGTTTTTATTACGATTACTATATTAATTTAATAACCAATACCGTTTAAGTTTTTCGGAATCCGATTTACGTAAAGTTTTGTCACCTCTTTCAATATAGCCATAGAAATAGAGAACTTAACCTTAATGATGTGATTGTATCGATGCAACTCCTTTGATTTTTCTTTTGTCCCTTGAATCATCGAAATTTCTAACAATCGAGGCTTTACCATTATTCTTACATGAGAGAGGAGGGAGTGTCGAGCTCGCTACGCGAATATTTTATCTTTGCGTTAATTGAGTTTAACTCTAGCTTTTAACATATTCCCTGGAATTTTTTTAAAAAAATCTATATTACTTTTAAAACTAATTCTTTTTTAAAAATAAATATACATATTTAGAAATTGCATTTAATCAACAACATCCATTCGGAATTTGCCATATTATCTGCCCTCAGAAGCGCTTCCATTTACAGGCTCGAAAGGACTTGGAACGTTAGAATTTTAAAACAAAAATCTAAATATAATTTTTATCTTTAATACAAGACTAATTCCTAGCAAACGATTAAAATTGTGTGATTCATTCGCAAGGGTAAAAAAATCCTATGTGAAGTACAGCAGCCAGATGGTAAAACAGTATACTTTTTATTTAGAAACATACCCATTAAAGTCAATTAAATTTCACAATTTTAATTGCTTGCTAAATTCTCAGTCTTAACTTACAGAATATGACAGCTTATATTTACCTAAAATGGCCCTTTTGATTGCCTTTATTCATGATAAGGAGAAACTAAGAAGCTAAAATAAGTCGACTATAGTTGTTATGCTATAGTGATAAGAGATGAGAATCGAGAAGTGCCATGAAACAATTATTTAAATTTCAAAACGATACCTAAAATCGATTATAAAAAAAATCGACCAATATTTTATTAACATTCATTTACATTAACCAGAGTTTAAAGGGAAAAAATAATTATTTATAGCCCAAAATTTTGAGCCAAAAATCTTTGAATATCACAAAATTGAAAAATGATATTTTTTTAAGAAGATTTTGTTATTTCTTCGTATAAAATTTTTTTTTTTTTAAAAAATTGTAATATTATGTAAAATTTTATCAAAAATCCTCTTTGAACATTTCTCAAATAAAATCTTCTTTATTTTATTTTGAAAAGCATTTCAACTCTGTAAAAAAACAATAAATAATCATATTAAAACCAAAAAAATAAACTGATCTTTGATTTCACCCCCTAGAGAGAAACATCTATTTCTATCACTATAGAAGGTTTCAAAATCATAGTAATTCTTATTTAAACACATTATGTCCTTTATCCTTGGGAAAAGGCTGGTCATGTCCTGACTTGTTTTATTTCTAAACATAAATCTGTTTAGCTGTCTACGTAGCTTAATCTAAAAATATTAGATTTAGAACTAAAAACATAGAATAGACTAAACAAAAATAAGTTACAAAAATAAGACAAACCAGGACACAACTACTATGTTTTTGAGAAAAAAGGCCATTATGAATTTTGAAAAAGACATTAGGCCTCAAATTCTGCAAATTATCAAATTCCTTGCAAATTATATATGAAACTTTTTAGTCGATTAATAAATACCCCCCCCCCCCCCCCCCCCCGTTACTCTCCCGCTATCCCGCTAATTTAGCTCGTTCCGAAAAGGCATAAATATCAAATGGAGAAACTTCTCAAACTTTTTTCGGAGACTGATAATCATTCCGAGCTAAGAAATTACCTGAACAACATAAAACTTCCATGTATCCCTTACACTGGTACTAACATATATATACTTTGTTTACAATTTATAATTTTTTAAAGATAATATGTTCTTCGATAAAACAAAATAAATCTTTTTAAAATGTGTTTTTTTGAAAAGAATATTTATAAAAGAATTGTGAATGAAAAATTTTTTCGAGGTCCGAATCCCCCTCGTCCCCAAATTAAGATTTTTAAATCATTGTCCAATCCTGCTAATACAAATTTCGTTGGATTAGGTCATTTCTAGGCTCTCTACCTTCAAACTGTATATTATTATCAATATAAGAAAGTACACATTTTTATGTGTTAGAATTAGTGTCATAAAGTAAGGTCAAAAGTAACGACGCTACCTTTTTTGAAGAAAAGGAACGTCATTTGATACCTTCTTCTACAGATAACGAGTAACGGTAGCATTTCTTTTTTTTTGAGTAACGGCAACGCAAAACATTACTCGTTACTCCAAATCTTTCTTAAAAAATATGGGAAAAACATTTATTGCATTATAAAATTACTTTTATTTATTTTTTAAATTTTATAAATAATTTAAGCCTAGTTTTTAATTCACATCAACCACCAAATTCCTTAATTTAAACTTTCGTTGTTAAATTTTCAGTCAAGATTGTTAATCCAATTAATATTGAATCAATCAATTACATGTAAATTTATATTCTTATTAATATTATAATTTACTTTATAAAGATTTTTATGTCAATTGCATATTTTCTTCAGGTGAAGATGAGTAAAGCCTGCCTTGGCTCCAACATTTTTTACACTGATAAAGAAAACTATTAGTACAAAGTTTACACCTTATAAGTGTAAATTGTGTACCAACTCAAATATTTTAACCTCAATTGTGGAATAAACACGGGCATCCTAAACTGTGCAGCCATTTTTAAGAAAAAAATTGGATATCTGATTAAATAGTTATAACAAGATGGAAATATAATCTTATTATGGAGAATAGCTACAAATTTGGGGAAACTCGTGATAAATTCATATTTATATATTTATATGAATTTTTAGGTTATGGAACCTGTTCACGGCTCTTTCGATTTTAGAGAGAGAAAAGGAAATACATTTGGGAAATCTCACTCTCACCCTCACTATAACTATTATAATATTTAAAAAATGTCATTTTTTAAGCAATTTATTAATGAAATTCTGCATGACAAAGATAAAAGGTATACAGTTGAAGTATTGTTCACAATTTATTTTTTTGATAATATTTTATTTCAATTGAATATATATTATCAGCGAATTCACCCGCTATTTAAAACAGATTGGACTTGGTAAAACTAGATTTCAGCTAATGTAGGAAACTTGAACTTATTTCCTCTTTGAGAAAAGATCTTGACAAAGAAAAGGCAAACTTCATTTCTTTAAAAAACATCACACGTACAGATTATTTTCTAATAAAGATCTTAAAAATTGAATGAGTATCTAATGAAAATTCTTTTGACGACGAACTAAGCTTTTTTTAAAATAAAGATTATTCTTATATTTTTAGTAAATTCCCCCAATTAAAATTTTTATTTATCCAATATAATACAACCCTCCCATCTTCTGCACCAGCTGAACGTGTGCTCTATGCTTAGCACTAGGCATTCTTGTTTATCTGATCTAAATTTTAAAAATCAATTGTTTAATTATAAAAAATTATTACAAAAATATCTTATCTTATAATATATTATTTTATTTATAAATATATTATATGTATAAGGGGAAATTTTTTTTTGTATATTAATTTTTTTAATAAAGAGTAACCCGTTATTTTTTTGGAATAGCCAGTAACGCACATTACTTTTTTCACAAGGTAAAGAGTAGACATAACTAGTAACGCGTTTATTTTTTGAAGTACGCACTAGTTAGAATCACTTAAAGGGTAGGTATAATAAATGTGACCATCCCATCATTTGATATTTTTGTTGTACAATTTTATGCTTATCAATCCAAAAGGCCTTTACCTGACCGACCTGGTGTACATAAATCACGTGAAAGAGGTGAACACGAGATCCCCAGCTAATAAGACGCGATCTTCGCGACCTCACGACAATTGGCTCTCTCTCACCTGTTCCAAAACTAGCCAATCACAGATTGACCGCATTTTGCGCATACTCTCCGAGTACCAGAGATCGAATTACGGTAAGAAAAAAAATCCATATAGAGAATTTTATGATATGATAAATATTTATTCATTATAATACTTTGATTTATTTAATATTTATGATGTATTTATTATATGGTATAAAGTAAAACTATTCAAAAATATATTAGTTTTATTATCATGGTTCAAAAATCATATGAGGCATCATACACATAAAAAGTACTATAAATCAAAATGAACGCCATTAGCGTTCGAGAAATCAAAATTGTCACTTACTTATAAGGTCTTTAATACTAATGACTACGATCTTAACTCTTTTAGGAACCTTCTTTTGAAAAATTTCCACAAATGCTTTAACCGTATAAAATTGCATTTATTTTAGGTCTTGTTTGACTATGCCTTTTTTAACAATAAAAGTCTTTGCACTTTCTTTTGGGTTTAAATCGGTGCTGATGTAAGTAATCTTAGTAAAGGAGACCGTTTGTCTAATAGAAAATATTGGTCAATTCTAATGTAAGACATGGCATAGTGCATTTAGCTGAATAAATAATTCCTTCAATAAAAACATGTTGCCCAGACCTTTTCACGTCGTAAATCACATATTATTTCTGGGGGATTTGGGCGCCCTTTTAAAACATTCAGACTCTATCCGGAAGTGCTACCAAATTATTTATAAACGAATAATCACGCTCAAATCTGCTTTCATCATTGAAATTTATCTTTATAAGGCCTTTTCTTTGCCTTAAAAATGACTGATTTCAATGAATATTTTTTAAAGATATAAATGCACCTTATAAAATGTTAAACCTAGTGTTGTTAAACGGCTCGATTTGAGCCGATTTTTAAAAATGGCTAACTCAATATTTCAGCCAGAAAAATATTGGCGCCTCGAGATTTCGCTAATAGATGTTCAAACACATTTGTGCTATCTATAATCAAAATCTCCAGGCTTGGTAAAATTTTTTTGTTAATATATTAAATTAGCCTTTTTTAAAATCAGCTCAAATCGGGTCGTTTAACATAGCCAATAAACCAATGAAACGATTTTTTTCTATTATAAGTACTAATAGAATTATTCTTTTTTATCAAGAAATTTCACTAAGTAATAAATACCATGATGCATGAAAGTTTAGTTTTCTTTGGTGGAATTTTTTAAACACATCAAATCTCGTTTTGTTTTAACACTTTTTCTACCTCTTTTCCGCTGGACGAATAATTTCAAAACAAATCAACATTTCAGAAATTTTTCAACAGAGCATGTTTATAAAATTTGAGTATACTTTTTATATTCAAATAAGTTAACCGCGCATTACTTAAAATGTAACTTGAAAAAGTATTTCTAAATACAAAACAATAGGAGAATATAAAAATCAAACCTATTAATCTGAAAAATTTATCAATTCAAAGGGTAATGGCGATCAATTTGATTCACAAATGCTGAGTGGCTTTTCGAGTTGATATGTATTTTATTTATTAAAATTTACATATCTTTAATAATTATTGATATATTGATTTTACCCTTTAAATATATATAAGGCATATAAGTTTCTAAAGGATTAATAGATAAAGACAATATGAAATGTTATGTTGAAATTTAATATTAATGGGAGATAAAAATTTATGGCGATCTAATTTGATATAAGGTAGTATATAGGTTATGATTTTATGGGACAAAAATTTATAAAAGTTACAGTTAAAATGCAAAATATCATAAAGGAGACAGTTCATTTGCGGCTTTTAAACCTTATAAAATTCATTTGAGGTTTGAAAGTTCTCCAAAATTTTTTAACAAAATAAGTAAAACACCTATTAGTTGTTTATATATGTTTTAAAATTACAAAAATAAGAGTTAAAATTTGTATAAATCAAATTTTTTTTTTTAGATTTAGAAAATTATGAAGGAATTTGGTTAATTCTATTACTGTTAATAATAATAAAGGTTATATTTTTGTCTTAAAAATGATTTTTATAAAAAATCCCAATTTTTTGTTGCTTTAAAATTCAAAACTTTACAAAAAAATTGCCTATTTCTCCAGGCCATTTTTTATAGAAAAATAACATGCCCTCACCAGTTTTAGAACTACAGTATTATGCAACATCGTAATAAATAAAATTAAGAGATAAGAAGAGTGTTTTTTTATGTGAATAATTTATTATATCCCCCCTGTTTTACCGATAAATCATAGCTCCTTTCATTTCTTTCACATTAGATTTCTTGTATGCTCCGGCCTCGTTTATTTTGGATTATCTTTTGGCTCTTTCCGAAAAAGGCGTCTCCCGATCATCCCTCAAATTTTTGGAGTCGACCTATTATGCCCGCAGCTTGAACCTTGAACCACCGGCCTTGCCCCCACGTGCTGCGCCGCCCATTTGCGCTCCCTTTTTCGCTTTTGGTAGTCGTCTCTACGATTACAACGCGGATGATAGCTTAGAGGCCGCTGATAACTTGAACTCGAATATCCTGGGATGCGATGCGAAGGAGAAAATCGTCAATGTAAAATCGATCGTTACTAGGGCAGAAAACGGTGACCTATTAGCTGATAAGGATCCAACCCTTAGCAGTAAAATAAAACGCAACGATAACGACCTTGAAGCAGAACGGGCCCTCGACTACGATAAAAATAACGAATCACCTAAAACCGATCAACTTGCTAATCCCAAACATCCCGAAATCACTGAAAATGGTAAACCTTTTAAACCTACCAATGCAAATGGAAAACAGTCGATAGCAAACGGCGATGAAAATGGAAGGCGTCAAGCTGTGGCTAAAAATAAGGAAAGGCGTTTTACATTGGAGTACCCTTGTGGCGCTCTTTTTGGTCAAAGCAATGACGTTATCGAGGACGTCATAGTTAAGGCCGGTTTGAGATCTCTGCCCAGAGGCAATGGCATGTCTGGTAGCAAGTAACGGGATATTATTTTTATTTTTGTCATAAATAAAAATTTAAGAGCGCTATATAATTTAGTTTTACCATATTTTAAGTTAATAAATTGAAAATGTTTGTTAATTTAAAAATTATTTTATTCCCTATTTATCGGAGACCTGGAGAAGGTACTGTTTATACGACCCATCCTTGTTTTAAACAATTTTTTATTTTTGATCATTTTTATGGTCTCGTTCATAATTTTTTAAAATTTGGTTATTTGTATAATTTTGGCTCTTATTTTGTAAATTTTTTCAAATGGGATTATATGATTTTCCAACTGATCAATTTTAATATGATTTAAATCAGGGATTCGAAACCGAACCCAGAGAACACCCGGGTTTTTGGGGAAAAATATGAACACGAAACGAACCTGAACCCCGTTTATAAAATTTTCAAAACCCTGAACCGAACCCGTGAATTTTATTTAAACCCGGGTTCAACCGGGTTAAGTCTATTGTTTAAAATCATATAAGATATTTATATAATTGTAAATACAAATATTAATAATTTAATTGAGATTTTATAATATTTTCAAATTTCCAATTAAGCAAAATGTTAATAAATTTTAAACAACTTAATTCATTTACGCCATTTTTAAATTTTTTTAAATTTATTCCTAAAGATTCCTATTGGAGTGTTAATAAATTTTAAACAATTAAATTCATTTACGCCATTTATTTTTAATTTTAACTTATTCTCAAAGATTATTAATTAGAGGAAAATGAAAATGAACAAGTCAAAGTAAAAATTATTATATTGGATATTGTTAATTTAAAGAAATACGTTTAAATAAAAATTTTTAAATCTATAAATGACTATGCTTTGTATTTTTTAACTATATTTTGCCTAGTAATTAAATAAAAAATTTATTTTTTATACCAAATTTATGTCTAGTTTTTTAATTATGATTTAAATATATAATTTTTTTTTATCAATTTAAAAATTTTTAAACCCGAACTGAACCCGGAACCAAGCCCGGGTACAAAAATATTTCTCTGAACCGAACCCGAACCGAACCCACCTATTTTTTTAACCTTAAACTGAACCCGTGCCGGGTTCGCATCTCTGGTTTAAATTAATTTTATAGAAATCTACCCGGATCAATTTTTTGGAAAAAATACATCTTCATTCTAGGCTTTATTTCGGGGCCTGCAGATCTCTGCTATTTATCAATCCTTTTATAATAGAAATATGATTTTTTTTTAAAGAGTGCCCCTCTTGCTTACCACTACGTCCCCGGAGTCGAATGGTGGCCCCTACGGGTTCAATATTTCCGCCCCATCCGGCAATCATGGACCCCTGGGGCACTCAACACTTCGCCATCGGGCCTCTTTCTCCGAAGATCGTGCCAAACCCCTGCCCTATCTCGAAAGGGCCCGTCTTCGTATTCATTCGCGCCTTACCCATCTGATCCACACCCTAACTCGTTCTCCACCCTCCCCGTCGCCCTGTGATTATTTGGATTTTGGTAACCGTGGAGAGGCTATTAGACCCGTTTGCATTTCGGCTATCGAGGAGGGTGACAGAAGGCTTAACGAAAAACATCGCACTAATAACGGTTTTTTGCCCCACAACAAAAACGAAAGCCTAAATAAGTATCTTTTCTGCGAAAATGACGTCTCCCAAAACGTAAACTTGATTCCTCGTAAACCCTACCCCCTCAGCTTAGAGCAACGTGATATTATCGATAATGAACGTACAAATGACATCTCACCGGAACAATACGAATCCTCCTTTGTTACTCGTTTTTTTTCTCCCCTCACGCGTATCGTATCACCAGCCGTCTGCTCATCACGGTACCGCGTCGCGAGCAAGGCGTTTCGGGGAGGTAGCGGCAGGAAAACGCTTTCGCGAGCGGCACTTCTAACTATGGGTGGAATTTGTAATGACGGGCAACTTGTGGAATATGCCGGTTTCATAATTTAACAAGCTATCATCTTCATTAGTTATGATCAGGGTTGCCATGTCTCCCCTCATCAGTGGGAGTCTCCCACAATTTTTTAGTTTACCCACATACATCTCACTCCCACAAAACTCCCACAATTAGAAATCTCCCACAATTTTTTAATTTCTCCCACAATTTTTTTTTTAGCATTTTAATGTTTTTAAATATTTAACGACTCCAAAATAAGTGCTAACTTTACTTATGGTAGGACAAAAATGAGCAAGGCTATCACAAATGTGTTAGGACCTGAATCCAAGAGGTCAATTCTAGACGATTTGAAAGAAGGACATCCATGTGTTATTTTAACAGATGCATCAAATAAGGGAAATATTAAAACATTTCCCGATCCTTCGCTATTTCAACAAGAATAAGGGCATTTCTATAAAACTATTGAAATTTTTTTCATCCGATAGTGAAAAATCCAACGATATAGCTAACCACATTATGGTAAATATAGCTGATTCAGGGTTATCAATGAGTTGCATGTCAGCTTTCTGCGCTGATAATGCCTCTGTTAATTTTGGCAAAAATCAAAGTGTATTTACCGAATTGAGGCAGCACAATAATGAATTAATACCAATTGGCTGTATATGCCATATACTGCATAATTCTTGCAAGAAGGCAATGAATGTACTATCTGTAGATGTCGAAGTAATTGTGATGAAATGTTTTAACGAATTTAGTTCATCAACTAAAAGAGTCACTGAATTAAAAGAATTGGTGGAGTGGTCTGATTTGGAATGGTGAGAGTTGTTGCGATATGTACCTATCAGGTGGTTATCATTAATACCTGCCATCGAGAGGATTTTAAAATTTTACGAACCCTTAAAGAAATACTTCTTAAATAAAGATTTTAAAAGCTGTCCTAGAAAAATTTTTTCGAGGATGAAATGTCAGAAGCATATTTGGGATTAGTTTCACATGTAGGAAATCTACTTCATGTAGTTAATATTCAGTTGCAATCAGAAGATTCTTTATTGATAAAGATTCACAAAATCATGCTACAGCTCTGTTCATTTAAAAATAGATAATAAATTTTATGGCGCTATTGCTAAAAATATCATATTAAAATGTTCAAATATTACTATAATTAACGTATTTTTAAATGAAGCAAATATTTTTATTAAGACAATTTTAGAATATTTACAATCAAGATTTGATTTTAATAACTCTATTTACAAGTGTATAAATATTATGACCTTGGAACAGAAACCATCAATGGTTTTTGTAATTTAATAAATATATTAAAATTACCGATAGACATTGAAGCCTTGTTTGAAGAGATTGTAATTTTTTCCATTTTTTATGATTCGCCAGAATACTTAAAGTTAGATGGTCTAAAAGCAGAGGAGAAATGGGTGGAATTTTTTCGTAATAACGATAAATCCCCATGCTTGGAAAAAATTTGCGAGTATGTTTTCTCCTTACCTCATTCTAATGCCTCATCGGAGCGCATTTTTAGCCTGATGAGGACTGCCTGGAGAAAGGAGAGAAATCGAATAGCTTTAACAACATTAGAGGCCGAGTTAATGGTTAAACAAAATTATAAAATGTCATGCCAGGAATTTTATAAATATCTTAATAACGACGGTAAACGTTTAGTTCCATTATTTAAATCTCAAATAAAATATAATTAACTATAAATATTTGACTTTCTATATTTTATAAAATCTTATTTATACATTTGCATAAAATCAAATTTTATTTTTTACATTGTAAAATTAATATTTTGAATATTTTGGCAAATCATAAAAATAAAGAAGCATTACAATCTCCTCAAACATGACATCATATTAAATCTTATTAATAATTATCCGATAATAGTAATAATATTCTTACTTTGGTATTTCTGCAGCATAATTTAGTGAACCTTTATTAAATTATATTCTTCTGATTGCAACTGCATATTAACAGCATATAGTAGATTTCCTAGATGTAAAATTCCTAAATATACTTCTGCCATTTATTTTTGAAAATTTTTTTCAAAATATTAGGACTGCTTTTATAATCTATTTATTTTTTAAAGGTTTGTAAAATTTTAAAATTCTACGATGGCGCGTATTAGAAGGAACCTGCCAACCAACATTATGCTGACTCAATTCTGTAAATACACTCTGGATTTTGCCAAATTCACTGAGGAATTATCAGATCAGAAAGCTGCCATGCAATTCATTGGCAATGCCAAATCTGCCATATTTACCATTATATATGGTTAGCTATGTCTTTGGATATTTCATATCATGAGAAATTTTTTAAAATAGTTTTATTGAAATGACATTAATTTTGTTGAAATAGGGGAGGATCAAGGGAAATGTTTTGATATCTCCTTATTAGATGCATCTGTTAGAATTGCATATGTTTGCACATCTTTCAAATCGTCAAGAATTGACCTTCTGGATTTATATCCTAAAACATTGATGATAGCCTTGCTCATTTGTGTTCTACAAAGTATACTTTTCATTTATATTAGTCGTTAAATATTATGGGGAAAGATTCTACCAACATTGTGATGTTAAGTAGCTCTCTGAATGTTGTACTGCATGATAGGTATTTACCATTTCCGCAACTGTAGTTGCATCTGTATTATTTCTTATTTTTGAAGAATATTTTTGTTTTGCAATAGATGTTGATAGACTGCCCTGTACTGATTTATGCTTTGAAGATTTTTGATGCCTCAAAATATCATATTCCCTTCCCCCATTGGATTAACGAAATACTGTAGAACAACTTTCCCGCACTGATTATAATTATTTTTTACATTGTAAATTTAAAATTGTTTGTTTTTTTATAAAATTTTATCTTGTTTACATTCTTTTGTATTTAAAAAAGATCGTTGGTTATTATTTTTAAACAAAATTAATTTATTATTTTTAAACAAAATTAATTTATTATTTTTAACAAAATTAATTTATTATTTTTAAACAAAATTAATATATTATAATAAATCAATATGTTATTTTAATAATAAAGATAGTATTTAAGAAATTTTGTGTCGTACTATAATTACCTATTTTGAAAAATAGTTGCGTATTTTATTTTGGAAAATTGTTACCTATTTTATTTTGAAAAAGAGTTGGATATTTTATTTTGATCAAATTTTTTTTTTTTAGCAATTTTCATATTTCTCCCACAATTTATATATTACTCCCACAAAATACCGAATTTCTCCCACAATTTGAAAATTTTGACCTGGCAACCCTGGTTATGATCAGAATGTTTTTTTCAATTTATTCTTCTCCTTTATGATATTAAAACCAATTTTGCAGAGTTTAAATGAATGTTTCAGTCCTTATTAATATCTCACTATTCGCAAGAGTGGCTTATTAACCCAATATAACCGCCATGCAGAATAGAGTGAGAGCCACAGCCATTTTTATTATAGATTTCGGCAAATATTAACTCATTGGTGTTGTGTTTCGGTGGGGTCAGGCAAGTTCTGGTAAGTAGGCGAGTTAGATCAAATTATTTTTTTGCCGAAATGAGTTCCCCCCCCTCCCTCTTCCACCCCTCCTCCCCCATTACATGGACTTGAGGCCATTCATATAATGATTATACTGCTCTCGGGGGATCATCTTATCAAATATCCAAATAGCGAAACAAAAATTTGATTTGAAAAATAAATTCACAGACCGGCAACCCCGAAACCTGGACAACACATTTTTACGGTATTTACATAAATATTTATCGTTAACGAAATAAAATTTGGCCCTGCCTAATTATTCATTCATATGTTACTTTAAGGTAATGGTTGATAAAAATCAAGGAAAAGAGAAATGAATGAAGTTTTAACACTCATTAATGCAATCATTTTTATTCTTTTTTTTCAATGGGGAAAATTGCTAAGTATGAGGTTGGGGCCTGAGCCCCGCTAATTAATTTTTTTTAAGTTGAGTCCAGTTCGAAATTTTTATTAATTTTAAGGCCCGACCCGGTCCTGTTTATTTTAGGCAAATTTTTGATTAAGTACACATATTTATAAAGTTAAAATAAAATTTAAAAAAATCACTTAATTGTTTTGTTCTAATCTCTTCCAATTATTTTTAATGAAAGACGCGAAGAATAATTTTTTAAGCCCAATGCTTATTTTTAGGGCTGAGCCGATCGACTTATAGGGCTCTGACTGTGGCGGACATTTTTAAAATTGTCATGAACACCTGGGAGGAAATGTTAGAAGATACATGATAACGTTTCAAAAATTTCTTCTTTTTACCTAAAAATTATATCTACAACTCTAGGAACCTTTTATGTAATAAAATAATATAAACTCTAAAAGTTTAAAGATAATTTATAAAAAATATTACCCCACCCCATTTCTTTTTAGAACCATTATTCTCGACCGCCTCCGTCACGAGGAGCCGCCCTTCCCTTAGTCCGGTTAGGATAATCAATTACACCTCATTTGACAAAAAGACGTGCATCCCATCAAACGGCAACTGTCTTCCGGATCACCAGTTCGATACTACCAACCACGAAAATAACATGCTTGAAGAAGGGGAGGAAAGAGCCGTTCTGTATTTCATGGAAGGGGATCTTCCCCCCTACAAACTTGACTGCCTTAACTCCAAGTGCAATCTGTACGTTCCGGAAGAAGGTACTCCACCTACTAACCTCGGTTTTAGCGAACGAGGCCCCCGCCGCTCTCTATATTCGCCTACGTTCCTAGTCCAGGGCGATTGGGACCTTAAGATTTTGGATTACCTCAATGAAAAGGTAATTGAATTATTTATATTGGATATAATTTCCCTTTTAAAGGAGTAGTAGGGTTATAACCTCATTCGTATACAAATTTTCCATGTTGAATTCTCGTTAGTAGATGCTTAAATTTTTTTATAATCCAAATATCTCATCTTAAAAAGTTTCATTAAAATTAATCTCAACATTGTAACTCTGATTGTGAAATAACATTTTAATGTAAACCAAATTATTTTTCATATAAAATAAATGCCAAAAAACTAGATTTTCATACGATTATCTTTGAAATGAACCAAACTTGGCATTATAGTTATCTATGTTGTATTTTTTGATAAACTCAAAATTTTAGAGTGCTAGCTAGCTCAACAAAATTCAAAGATATACGCCTTCAAAGTCAAAAATTACGCAATGCGTGATTTCATTATAGCTTGTTTTTTTTTAAAAAAATACTTAAAATAGAGTTACAAATTATGTATCATTTTATAGCCCTTATTAAAATTTACATTGGAAAATGTTGAAAAAAATTGTAAATTTTTTTTTATTTCTGGTACAAAATTAAAATTGTTGAGAAGGGATTTTTTTGGGTGTTGATATTCTCTAAAAATGTTTATTACCTTTATATTAAACAGACTATTTAATAAAAAATCTTGATAGCCATTTTTGTTTTTTAAATTTTTATTATTTTTATAAGAAAAGATAATATAAGATGGCGCTATATTTAAAAATTATTATAATATAATATATTTAATAAAAATATGTATTGTATTGGTATTAAAATTTAAAAAATCGATTGAGTATAAACAATAAGATGTCGGGCTATATGTAAGCTAACAGCCCATACTGATATGATTATTAGGACGCTATATTTTAAAATTTTATATACAAACTATTATAAAAAAATACCTCTTGTTTTAATCTTATTCCATTTGCGGCAATTAATATTTTCCGGAGGCGATAATTTGTAAGTACGTCCTGTCACTGTTATGGGATCTACTATCTTTATTTGGTGTCACCTATGGGGTAGAAGAAGGATGTGGAGGTCCATTCCCATTAATAAGTCCAGTTCTGGATACATTTTAACACCAGTTAATTTATATCAGTTTTCTAAACAAAATATGCCATCAGTAAATTTTACATATATAAGCAACGAATAATACAATTTAGTAGAGGTTTAACTTCAAGAAAGATTCAATTTAGCTCGCCCCATTCCAGGAGTTCGGGAAATACATGCTGTTAAGTAAATTTAAATCAAAAATATAATCATATATAGAGGACTTTAAAATTAACAATATCTTAAATGCCGATAATTTGCCTTTTGTCGATATCAAAGGATTCGTAACATATGTTTATGACGATTTTTGGTGGTTATCCACATTACTTAAAAAGAATGAAATTACCGATGAGATATATATTTCCTTTTTGCATTTGCATGGACCATCACCATCCTTCTTTTACCCACAATTAAGGGAAAGATACGATTGTCCATTAACCAAATAATAACAATAGTAGATCCCATAACAGTGTCAGGACGTACTTACAAATTATCGCCTCAGGAAAGTCTATTAATTGGCCAAAAATGGAGTAAGATTAAAACAAGAAGCACATTTTTTAATAGTTTGTAAATAAAATTTTAAAATATGTTTATTTTAAAATATAGCGTTCTAATAATCATATCAGTATGAGCTGCTTTACATATACCCCGACATCATATTGTATATACTCAATTGATTTTTTACAATGCATATTTTTATTAAATATATTATATTATAATAATTTTTAAATATAACGCCAGCTATATTATCTTTTTTATATAGAAATAAACATTTTTAGAGAATATTAACACTTCAAAAAAATTCCTTCTTAACAATGTTAATTTTTTTTTGATATTTTCCATTGTAGAATTTGGCTATAGAATGGTATATAATTTGTAACTCTATCTTAAGTATTTTTTAAAAAAACAAGATTTAATGAAATCACGCATTGCGCGATTCTTAATTTTGAAGGCGTATATCTTGAGATCTGGTTGAGTTAGCACTCTAAAATTTTGAGTTTACTAAAATATACAACATAGAAAATTAATTTACTAAAATATATAACATAGAAAATTAACATGTCAAGTTTCATTAATGTTTGAGATGGTCGGCCGAATCTTTGGTCGATTTGTCATGAAATTACCCAAATACTATATTTATACCGGCTTAAATTTATCGATTAACTAGTAAAGCTTACTTAATATTTAAACTTCGAAATTCCTCCATTTACACAATCACTACATCAATAATATTTATCAATCGCTACTGGGGAGGGTTGAGCATTGCATCGCGGCAAAATGGAACGCCTCCATTGTATTAAACCTATTTTTTAATTATTTTTTTGCGATAATTTTAAAAAATAATATAAGAATCGGTATTTGACTCAATTATTCCTGGTCATATTCCTAATACACAGTATGTCATATAAATTATACCTTGACATCTAAACCTTTCTTCTATACTTTTTTATAAAATGCCAATACTAAAATCAATTCTAGAAATATATAATGACACGAATAATAATTATATTATTTCAAAATATGGAACCTAGTGAGATTCGAATCTCAATTTTAAATCCCTAACTGAGAGCGATTTTAGAATTGATGATTTCGAAGGAAATGTATTCCAGAATATGTGGAGTGCTTGCCATGACAATTTTAGCCATCAAATTTTGTGTTATTCTAATTTATAATAGATATTGATTTCCAAAGTTCAAGACAAATTTACCTGGAGATTCAGACAAAAAATAACGGCGCGGGGTTTAGGTTCGTTTTATGAAAATAAATGATATAGGTTCCGTTTGAAACCTATAAAAGCCAGATTTCAACCCCCTTTCACATAAGATCTTAATAAAATTATGTCAGAACAGAAGAGCACATTTTTACTAATTTTATTACAATAATCCCATAAAAACAACTAACAATTATGATATTAGTCAGATACTTGCATGGTCTAAATTTTTGGCCCAGTCCCGGATTTAAAAATATTTTCGAAGAGAGGGGCAAGTAAATTAATATTAAATTCTCTATTTTATGATTTTTGAACTGATTGATTGATATAAATATAATTTATTTTTTAAAATTCGACTTATATTAATGATAATACACCCTAAAAAATATATAATTAACAATCCTTTTTATCAAATTATTAAGGAGAAAGAATAAATATTATAGATAGCATTTTTCTCTACACTAGTTTTGGGGTAGCAACAACATAATAACAATATCAAAAAATGGGCTTGGCCGGATATATTTTAATGTTGAGCCATTATGATATAAACAGGTTCAAACTGCAGAGGTGGTGTTATTTCACCTCCAGAAAGAGGTGCTTTTCGTTATTTGTTTCAGAGTCTTCAGATTGCAAGTAAACAGGGAAAAGATTAATGTTTAAAATTGTTGATATGACCTGATAGTTTTTTGAGATCCAGTTAGATGTGAAGTTATATCTTTTATTAATTTAGCTAGAGACTTCAGAATCTTTGGTTTGGCTATTTGCACCATAGAGCCTTTAGGATATTTGGAGATAATGAGAGATTTGTATGATTTTAGGGAATTGATCATGTCGTTATGAGGGGTAGGACAGGGTTATAAATAAATTGAATATGTTAGAAGATAATTAGTATCACGGTGAATGGAAAATGGGGCATTTAAAAGATAGAAGGATATTTTTCAGATTTGGTACATGAGAGGCCTTCGATGCTATGAGAAGCAGGTTTGGTGATTACTATTATTTTAAATATGCTGAACAGCGTTTCAGACAGGTTTAATAATTAGTTTCAGGCTTAATTGGAAGATGAGATCTTAAAAAGTTGAGGGGGTAGTGGAAGTTAAATGATTGGAGGTGTTTAGTGGGAGAAAATGATGCGATATGAAAAATAATTCAACAGGAAAAAAAGTAACCTAAGTTTTGGGAATAAGTTTAAAAGTTATTATGTTTTTTAGAATAAAATAAAAAAATATATTATATATAAACTGTTAATTAAGTATTGTATAATATTTATCTGTTTAAATTAGGGATGTACCGATATTTTTTATGTGATCGGATTTGGCCGATTATTTCTCTTTTTTAAATATCGACAGCCGTTTTTATCAAATTTTTTGATCAGATAAATTGACATTTTGATTTAAGAATTTTATAGCATCGATATAATATTTAAAAAAAATACATTTATTAAGTTAAAAATATTCTTATATGATTGAAGTGATAACTTATAAAAACGAACTAAATAATTAAAAAATAATAGAATACATAATTTATTTTTATAAGGATGTTCGGAATACTACTTCCTACACGATAGAAAGACTTTTGAGTTTGCTATATAAATAAATGTTTGAATGGATATTACTGAATAAATGAGCCTAAAATAATAGGCTAATTAAAATTGGATTTAAAGTATAATGACTTATGTTATGGTTATCATACATAGATGGTTGCATACTATAAAAAAAGTAGATTGGGAAATTAAAATATATTGGTATAACGAACAAAATCAGATTAGTGATATCGGATCGGTATTGATTGGTATCAATATACATAGGACTTGTCCAGGATTTTGCTAAGGAGGGGGCGCTATTAGGTTGATTTCTCTTCCCTTAAATTTACTGTAGGTTTTTAGGGTCATCTATTTTAGGCTTTTGGCTATGATCTTTATAAAAATGCATTTTTAGGGTTTAACTTTTTTTATAAAAATGCTTTAAATTTTTTTTTTGAATTAGTGTTATTTTAAAATTTTTTTAGCTTTTACTAATTTTCTTTCAAACTTGTTAGTTATATATGATATAAATTTTTGGGAAGAGAGGTGGGTATATGAGGAGGGGGGGGGATTTTTTAAAAGCCTAAAATTATATTTACTATTTACGATAACAGGTAAATTTCCAAGGAGGGAAATTTTCTCTTATCTCTCCTGGCTATGCCTATGTCAATATAATATAGGATCGGCCTCCAAAATGGTAAACGGTACACCTTTAGCCAAAATCATTATGAATT